GAATCTTAGATGGGTTGAGAATATCTGCCATCACATTTGAACAATAAATGAGAAAATTTTTAAATTCTAGGTTCAAAGATATTTCCCCTCAGCACTGTGAAGATATTATTTTATCTTCTTAAATCAGTGTTTCCAATAGGAGGTCTGATATCAATCTGATTTTCATTCAATTGTAGGTAATCTTTATTTATGATAGTTTTTAGTTTTGGTTTTCCTTATGGGTGTGTGTGTGTTTCATAACTGTGTGCTCATCTTCTATGGGGAAATTCTCCTTAGTGTGACCTGGTAGTGACATCGACTACATCAACCTCATGAAAACAGAGGCCCCTACTTACCACTGTAGCATTCTACTCCCTAATTTTATTGCTGGTATATTTTTAGAGTGACTGTGTTTTCAAATTTGCCTTTTATAGCATGGAATTGTCTCAGAAAGAAGCATGGTGTGGGAGGGAGAGATTTAGGATTTAAATCCAGATGACTGTAGGACCTACTCTTAAACACTCTACTCACCAGGCTACTCTAAGATGACCAGTTCTCAGAGATCAAGTGAGATTGTAGCTAGGATGGTATCCCTAGAGACCATGAAAAACCCACTCTATCACTTAGGAAAGACTACTGATGCCTCTACTAGAGGCTCAGTGGTGCTACCCTCTTACTTAGGCACTCAAGCCAGTGCACATCATCACTAGTGTTAAGGGAGCAGTACAGGAAAACAAGGCAGAGAGACCCGCAAACAGATTCTCAATTAAGAACAACAAAGGACGGGAACAAGTGGATAGCAGGAGAAACGCTGATCTTCCTCCTGGAGCTGCAGCTGGAAAATAGCAGCACTTGAGAGACCAAAAAAAAAAAAAGGGCTGAGCACCCAGATTGCTCTAAATCTATAATGTAATAGGATTACTATTTTTTTCTATGTAGGCAGTAATTATAACTGATTATAATTTGTTGTTGCTGTTTTTTTTTTAAATCTGAATGCTCCTGAATACAGTTATTATATTAGATTTCCCCATGCAAAA